GAGAACTCCCTTTTTGCTTGTTATTACCTTTGTTTACGTTTTTATTTTCCTTAGAATAGTTATTCCTTCTCTCTCTATTATGATCGCTCATTGTTCCATTCCCATTATTTTTGCTTACCTTATTACGACACACTCGTTCTAAATGTCCCTTTCGACCGCAAATATTACATTCCAAGTGTCTAAATCTACATTGGTTAGCTCGATGGTTCGGTTTTCCACAGCAAAAACATTGAACTGAAGATGAAGACGATCTGCTGCTGTCACGCCTCCCCTTCTTGAATCCTCGGCTGATTACGCTGTTCAACTGTTGCTCTGCCGATGAATTACCCATTTGAAGGACATCTCGATTTGCCGATTCCAAGGCTGTTGCTAACTCAACTGCTCTCTGGTATGTCAGTTTTGCTTCACCCAAAAGTCTACTCTTAATGGAGTCACTATTCAGCCCCCAAACGAACTGATCCCTAATATTTGACTGCAGATTTTCACCAAAGTCACACTTCATAGACAATTTCTTTAACTTTGCTAGATACTGTTGAATGTTTTGTCCACTTTCTTGACGACATTCTTTAAACTTATAACGTTCCGTTATCACACTAGGCGCAGGCTGTAGGTGATTTTCCATTATCGCTTGTAGCTCTTCTAGAGTTTTCTCTGTCGGAAGGTAAGGTGTACACAAATTTCTTAACAATGCGTATGCTTTCGCACCAATTAATGTAAAAAATAGCGATTTATGTTTCTCTTCTGGAATATCATTGACTATCACATAATGGCCAAATCTCTCCACCCACATTTTCCAATCGTCATCCATTTCAAACTCGTTCAATTGACCGATTCTTGCCGTTACGACTTGAGCCGTTCTATTTCCTCGTCCAGGATTCATTGCTATTTCTCTCGAAAATGAACTTCTTATCACTAATCAAGTCACTGTTACCTCACAATAAGAGTTTTAATCCACCTCGTCGCCAATTGTAATGTTTGAGGGCAGGTATGTGAATAAAAGACAATAATAATTTTAAGTCAACACCGTAGCTCTTTATTGTAGGCTCGTACATTACCGTATGCCACAGGCGGAAACTGAAGGCTCGCGTTAAGGGAGGAGGAAATTGCTATATCCCTCTATCTATAACTATTATAACTTATAGATACTACAC